CAGAGGCCAGTGTCTCACAAGGAATTTTCAAACTCTGGGAATGGCGTTGCTACCACCCTTCCCCTGGCGATTCAGGTGCTCCTCTGGAAAGCAGTAAATGCTGCTGTAGTCCTTTAGCTGTGCGTTTGCTGATTTGCCCAAGTGACTGATCACCATACCCTTTTTTTAATGTTGTAAATCCAACTCCCTAATCAAGGTCTTATACGCCATTTGATCCTCACATGATCAGCATGAGAAGCACTGAAAAAACAACAACAATAAAAAAGGAGCATGAGAAATACCAGGGAACTCAAGTGCAACTGATCAATCTGTGGTTCGATCAGTAGTCTACTGTGTTCTCTGGAAATCAAAGTGAAGTTAGCGTGCACAGTACTGTGTCTGCATCTAGGACCCAAAGCTGTCTAAAGACAGAAGTAACGACAACAATTTATCCAGCACCCACTGTTCTATAGCAGGCCGGTCGTGTGTGCCGCGCTTCGTTCGGCCTTTGCTCCCTCCCATTGTATTGTAGGCTGTTTGCCACCGATCTAGCTGGCCGTGTTTTAAAGTTGGTGGGTTTTCAGTGGTCGTGGCTCTGATCGTATTTGGCTGCCACACTTGTTTTTTGCTGAGGCTCCGGTGGCTCATATAACGTCTTTTCGTTGGGTGGTCACGCCCCTTCTGAATTTCGGAGTGACGGGTGGGCACCTGACAATTGGGGGCCTGATGCGGCGCTCCAGCAAAAGTAAGAAAACCAGCTAAGCAGCACGGCATTCTGCTGAAAGAAAGAAAAGTGGTGTGATCTACCATTTTTCTTCACCAGAAGAAAAGCGCCGTCCAACCCTGAAGGGGAGAACAGGGCTGCACGGCTGTTTCCCCGAAAGCTGTTTTGTCTTTTTTTTTCAGTTGAAGAAAAATGCCCCGTGCCCCTGCAACAAAGAAGGGAGCTGTACAAATATCCCCCTCCTCCCCCTCCTCCCCCTCTTTGTCCCCTTGCCCTACCCAAGCCCACCCCCTCGGGAAAGAAGACAAAGGCTGGTGCAGTATTCGGTTTCATCTGAAGAAAAGTGCTGTGTGCCCATGCAAGCATGCGCACTATGCGTCCTTGAAAGCAGGAGAGCAGGGTAACGGAGACCCAAAATTTCAGGCGACTTGTCAATGTCATTTATAACAAGACCCGAGGGTCATTTTAACCGAACTTGCCACCAATTCATAGAGTGGAGACCATACTAACTCGTGGGCGAAGCTGCGCAGAGCTTTCTTCTGTTGTTTAAATATCTCGTGCCATCGTTCCTTGCAATCAGATCTATGCTTTGCCTCAGTTCTTGGACATGATTACAGTCAGATGCATTCAGGTCGGGACGTAATTGGCGTCAGCTACGTTTAGGAACGTGCTAGTGTGAGTATGTCCTTAAGTGGACTGCAATCAAACATCCTAACCGTGGGTTAACCGACTATAGTAAGTTCTGTGTAGTCCTGCTGTTGTTCCAAACTTACTATCGATGATGTGTTTTGACAGACCAAAGTAAAATTGAAATTACTTGGTTCTGGTTCGTCCTGTTGTGTGACAAAAATATAAGCGTAACTACAGTCAAATCATCTCAAATGTTTAATTTGTGTTTGCATTGGGGTCTTCTGGGGACTGTGGACTACCGCTGCATGCTGCAGACATACTCCTGGGCGCCTGCGAATGAAAGGAGATCTCTCAATGGAAGGGGTGAAGTACTTGGGGAAGAAGACAAGTAGGAAAGCATTATTGGGTTCAGATTTGGAGGCGCATTCCGCTGAAGATGGCGAGGGAAGTGAGAGCGAGGAGGAGGATGACAAAGATGAAGATGCCATGGAAGGTACAACGGAAGAAAAGCACAGCAATGAAGGAGGTCTGGAAGACAAAAAGAGAGAGAGGATCCGGCAAAGGGCACAGGAAGATGAAGATGGACAACAACAGACTGGTTCGGAAAGTGAGCATGAGGATGAACGCGCCGACATGGTGAGCTTTTCTGTGCAGGAGGAGGACAGGAAAGAACTAGACACTGCCAGCTATTCATCTCTCCACATCATTCTCTTCCTTCTCCTCCACCTCCCTTTCTTCTGCCTTGTCATTGTCCTTGGCCTTCGTCTCATTGCTTTTCCAAAAAGTAGACTTTGCCTGCTACATGGCCTCCTCTTCGTCCTCTTCCTTCTCTCTCTCCTCCCGTTCCTCTACGTCGTCCGTGAGCCTCTCCCTTCCCCCCCCCGCCCCCTGCACATCCCTCCTCCTCCTCCTCCTCCTCCTCGTCCTCCTTGTCCTCCTCGCCGTCCTTCTTCTTCTTCTTCTTCTTCTTCTTCTTCTTCTTCTTCTTCTTCTTCTTCTTCTTCTTCTTCTTCTTCTTCTTCTTCTTCATTGTCGTCGTCGTCTTGGTCTTGGTGTTCTTGTTCTTGTTCTTGTTCTTGTTCTTGTTCTTGTTCTTGTTCTTGTTCTTGTTCTTGTTCTTGTTCTTGTTCTTCTCCCCCTTCTTCTTCCTTCTTCCTTCTTCCTTCTTCCTTCTTCCTTCTTCCTTCTTCCTCCTCCTCCTCCTCCTTCTGCTTCTGCTTCTGCTTCTGCTTCTCCTTCTGCTTCTGCTTCTGCTTCTGCTTCTGCTTCTGCTGCCACTACTTTTATGGGCTTCACTCGTAATATCATGGATGAATCCCTGATGTTGATGTTTATTACATCACTCTTGTATTTGTCACGTTTTTGTTGTGCCAGGCTGAGGGTGATTTGTTGGAAAATGAAGAGATAAAGGCACTGGACAAAGAATATCAGCAGATACTTCACCAAGAGGAGTAGGTGACGTCATCTCTTTGACTGGGAATCCTTGTCCTCGAACTATGTCGATCAATAGTAGATCAATCATCGGGGGGTCTTGGCATTCTGTATTCGTCTTTTGCAATCTACATATCGTGCTTGGCTATTTTTTCTAAGATTCTGTTCATCTTGCTGCAGAGGAGGAATGCATCACTGGCTGTTAGCTGGGAACCCCACTTTCAGCTCCTGGTTATCGGATCCAAAACTGAAATTTGTGTTTGGGGCCCTTTTTTTATCTGTTGTTTTTTTCTTTTTTTTTGTTGGCTGTTTGTGTTACAGGTCAAGGTTGCTGTGTGTGAGATTTGGCTGTCTTTTGAACTACTGGAAATAGCTGTGCTGTTTTTTTTTT